ACTTATATGATTCTAATGCCAGCCGAATCATAGATTAAAATCATCTAAGTAGGTACAAAAAACAATCAAAGAAAACAGATTTGATTATTCCAGTAATTACAGTTATTTACAGATTCTACAATGCATGTCAAATTGATTTGGTACAATGAGAGGTGATTCTTGCCGATGATGATAGTGGTTTATTCTCAATGTGTTGTAATAGCTGTGGTAAATTGACCTCAAATCTGTTTAATATCTAGAACATTTGATTAGCTACTGAAGGCTTGAAACATTTTAGGTATGGTGATCGATACCAGTGGAAGTCAAAGCGATTTTTCTGGAATTATTCTATTATGTTGTATCTCGACGAAAAGACAGCTCGAACAGCAATATGAAGTTTAGTAAAAATTCAACAAAAACAACCGTCGATACCTGACACTATTAACACCTTCAGATCACCAGGGGCGGACTAGCCCTAGCCCAATATTTTGACCTTTTTACATTATGGCATATGGCCCAGCTTTTACAATCGTATGTTGCCTTTCTTAACTTGGAAGTTAACTATAAGTTGTCCGTAAGTTTCGTTTTCTAAGTTCTGGGGTTAATTAACCCATAATCGATACTGCGGACATGCTTCTGTTTCGTCTCAACTATTGAGGTCTGTGGGTTGTTGACGCTTGGAGGTTGTACAACTTTCTATTTAATCCATACGCGGACCTCTGGTCGAACTTATCTGCCAATCTAGCACTAATCTGACATTGTGAAACGCTTTACCGTTTTTTGTAGTTAACTAGGTACCAGTTAGCCACAAAGATACTGCGATTGAAAAACCGAGCCTATGTAGTTACTATAATGGCATAAAAATAATGTTGACACGGTGAGGGGGAAGGGGGTGTAAGAACGAGCTCGCGACCTTCCTGCATTGAGGGGCTTGGAATGAGATTCCGGAAGAAATGAAGACTTGGGTTCAAAAACAACAACAAATTATTAATTAAAAACTAAAGTTATTAGACATGGGTGAATAACCAGGAGTATACTTATCATAGCCGTTAGCATTTAAACACACTACCTACCGGTGCCTACACACGGGCGTTCCACTGCCGCGCTGCAAAAAACGCAAGCGGGAATTTTTTATTTGATTCCTCCCATCCATTTAAGAAACCTCTTACATTGAATTTTGTTAAAGTTATTAAGATAAACCATACCCAGTACATCACACGATTTAGCTTAGTAACAAAATGAAATTCAAATTTTTCCTAACCATAAATTGCTTATTTGACCAATCAGCGTCGACAGTCGAATCTATATAACCCCCCTCTCGTGAGGTTGCTAGGCTTGCTAGGCTACCGAACATAGTTACGTAAGGAAGATGAACAGTCTCATCTAAAATGTAAATAAGGAAAACATTTAGATTACGAAATTAACGCTGGCTATTTATCCTTCTTGCAACTAATTTCAGTAGCTATGAAAAAATATCTCACCAGTATTTAGTTTAACCACTTTCTGTGTATACAAAACTGCATTCTGGTATGTACTATGTAACTTATAACTAACAACTTTTTATGAGAGCAAAAACAACGGTCTTTGGATTCGCTATCATAAGCCAATAGTGCCTACAGATGACGTTCCGGCAATCACGGTGGCTTTTTCAAGCAAATACATAAGTTATGTTTCGTAGTGTTACAACTTAAGTGATGATGTCTCAATTTCCAAATATGTTGGAATAACGATACACGCGCCTTTACATCATTAGCGGAACATCAAAATATCAGCACCCCACTGCCTGCTAGTTTGGCGACACGTAAAACACTCCTGACTGTGTTCTGTGGTCAACTACCTGCAGGTGACCTTCATTACCTGACTACCTGCTATATCACAGACACCACAGTTGAACTGAATTAACGACGGAGTGACGCTACTCTTCTATAGTCCATATCATTTCGCCATTACCACCTTAGACGCTAATGCGACGTTGCCATTTGGTATTTTTGGAGGGCAGAAAATGAAAGGGATGTGTGCAACTTGGATCGCTTATTTTTGTACCTACTTTAAATAACCTACCATTAGTAGATATGAGTCGTGACTAATTATTGGAAAAACCATATATTGTTAGCCAAGATTGAAGTTCCTTTGTTTACAAGTTCAGTGTACCTACTAAATTGCCAGCCGTGGCTTATGTCCAATTCTTTCACACGTCAGCGATGTGTGTCTGACTGGGCCACGAACTTTTTTTAAATGTGCGTTAACAGCACCCAAAATGAAGATGAGCTACTAATTTAAATTTTATCTATGTGATCTGTTTGTAGATACGTAAAGACAAACGGATTTATTTTTACTGTTTCATTATCAATAAGTAAACAATCAGGGCAGATAACAGAGATAACATTACACCTGGTTTTATTTTGTTGGGATACCTAGGTAGGTAGGTACATACGGTCTGTACGCGTTGGGAATTTCACTGACCGCTTCATAATCAATGAATATAAAAGGAAATTGATTTTGATATGACAATTGGTTCAAAAGATACGCCATTCTCAACAATGACTATTCTATATTTTTTCCAAAATCCAAATTATCATACGGTACAAACGAACGGCAAAAGATGGCATGGATAACACATACAGTACACCAATGACCTTGAAATTACAGCTGCTAAAGCCAGCTGCATATATGTAATGATGCCAGATTGTGAAAGTTTTATTTAGTTCTGAGATAATCAAGCACCACTCGTTCGCTTACAACGCCCTTTATCCAGATGAAACAGTTCCATCTACAACTACAACTTTAATGGTTTTTGTCTGTAAAGTTCAGAGTTTTCTATTTATAAAGTGTATTCAAACTTCATCTGTTTCCCGTCCAAACAAGCACCAGCGCACGACGAAAATTTTATCGTATTGGTTAGTGGATCGAAATGCCTGAGGAGGCAGCGACATGCTAAAAGAAACGACGATAAGTGCTCATGTTTGTGTTGACGCAGACTAAATGAGTTGAGAAAAGACTTTAGAAAGTCTCTAGTCTAAATACCATAGCCATAAATTTTGGTATACATTCAGTCGGTCATATATAACATATACAGATTGACCGAATACTACATATAGACAAATCAAGATGATGATGATCAGAAATCAGGAGAGAGGCTTCATCAATTTTTGACATATTTTGGTCACTGAATGAGGTATCTGAGAGAAACAGAATAGGGCTATGTGGGCTTAATCACTTTTGAGCCCACTAAAAGTTTCATTAACATTTGAAGTCTCAGCATGTCTTAATAATTATGGAAAAATTGACTGATAATGTGACTAGTATGAAATTTGATATTTATACAACTATATTATATGGAGTTTGGACTTCATATTCAATCCACTTAGATCATATTTTTATTTTACGTAATGCTAGAGATTGTCTGAGTGGTTCTTCCTGGGATTCCGTTTGGTTCTTAAGATGTGCACATTTAGCAAGATTGTTTGTAAACGTTTGAGGATCCTTAGAATTTGACCCCGCTGGGAAGATTTGCTTCCCCAAACTTTGAGAGCAGGTACACTTTCACAAAAACTTATGTCTGGAAACTCTCCTGAAAATCCTGCTGCCGCCTATGTTCATGCACGATCATTATCAAATCCAAAAGCCGTCACACTTTTAGTCCTGTATTGTATATTCTAACCATAAACATTTTCCCCAACTATTGTAGTGATCCATGGTATGATCCAAAATTTCTACCAAGTCATTTGCAAAAAAAGTCCATTTTTTTTTTAAAATACCTAGTTCAGTTATGTCTTACCATTTTAAAGTTATTTATTTACTTGATCGCCCAAGCTTTTAGGGATCAAGTTCCCTAGATCATCATTCAGCAGGACGCTTGGGCTGCAATCTAAACTCTAAACCATAATTAAAGGAACTTTTGCTATAAGTACTATAGTACTATTAAGCTATATCGGCAGCGAAAGAAAGCATCATACAAGATCATGTAGGACTTCTCCGCAAAATTATGTTTTTTCCTTTATGTATGTTCTAAGTCAGTCAGAAAAAGCTGTTCTCTTTCAAAAACGTGTTGAATAAATTTTTAAACAAGAATATGGCTAAGATTAACAATTCGTCAAGGAGCAAAGACCTTTTCTTTTTTTTGCAACATACACGTGTCCCATGTGCGGATTTGCTCTTGGTGGATCGGCGGTTTCCCAAGGGGCCCCTGTATCGTAGGTGGTCTCAATTATATTCAGTTAAGGACCGTTTTCCGCTAATTTCTAGAAAAAGGAATGCAAGAAGTTACCGACACAATGCAAATGGATAGCAGGGCTATTACGTAGAAAACTTATAAAACGTCAAAATTAAAAAACGACGAAATGTCAACTTGCTGGCTAGATAGTTCCTAGTGTGCAAATAGTACATCCATCTATGGAGGAATGAGTCAACGACACTACACGCTGAATGACCATGCTGCAAGCTGCAAGACAGATCCGCATCATGCTTTGTTGTATTTTCTATTTTTATCGCTACCTTTTTTTGTATAGGAAAAATCGGGTGCCCAACTAATTTTTAGCTTTGCATACATATCAAGTAAGTGTATTTGAGACTAGAAACCAATGGAATTATCAACACAGATTATTAGCACACAAAGTGTCACTATGCACCTATGCACTGTCGTTCTCTGCCAACCATTATACAACTTCCAGCTTCCAATAATGCCATCTCTGAAGCAGATGTTACATCACATCAGAGCCAAACATTGCCAGCTGAAGCATGATGACGTTTAGGCAACACGTACAGCTACGGAACGAGAATACGACAAGTAGGTATACAACAGCTAGTGCTAAGTTGACATCTTGTAGGAAAATCTAAATATTGTCACAAAAAACCTATTTAATGTAAAAACAACATAATGTCACTTTTCAAGATACGCAATACCCCTGCAGGTCTCTGGCTATGTATACGCCTAATGTTCCGATAAGTCTGGCAACAAGGCGTTTCTCGATTGTCAGTGGGGGCACACTGCGCATTAGGTCGACTTGAATTCGTAATGGCGATTTGTTTTCATCTCTTCAGAAGTCGCCTAGCTTCGAAACGGAGAGGTGCTGTAGGTTTACCGCAGATAAACCATCTACTTAAGTGATATAAACGCAGCCGAGAACAATGAACTTGAATCGGCTAAGTGCTTTGTAATCTCGTCATCTTTCGAGATTTGAACAATTGATCAACTTGTCCGTCTCAATCTCAGCGTAGGTTAGTCGGACGAGGACCAACATAATCTCCTCACGCGTTTATGTCGTGCTGTACTTACAAACAAATTGTTCAAGATTGAACTCGTGATAGAACTATGTCATTGTTTGCCGATGGCTTCCTGTGCGTTTTGGACACTAACACCACCGGTGGTGCGTTCGACGGGACTTACAAGGAAGTGTTGCAAGAGCTGGTGCCGGCATGGGTTTGCACCTTGGAGTATATGCCTTGGATTTGGGCCATGTTCGGCTCAATCCTGGTGGCATTGAGCGGAGTCCTGCCTTTGCTCATCATACCCATGGATCAGACTGACAATTTGAAACAAGGAGGTTAGATCAACTATTTTAATTCTAAGTATTTTGACTTGAGATTGACGGCTATGAAGATGCTAAAGGTGGTTTTATGTAAGCAGAATTGAACACTCAACGCTCCGTTTTCACAATCCAAATGCTTTATTTGTAAAGGTTCGTAATTTTATGCATTTCATTTGTTTACGGTACATAATCATTCTCGTAACAAGCGTATACAATATGATTAGACGTACACACTTTGCTATTTGTTTTGTTTGATGTGTTTAGCATAAAAGAACCTTTCATCTCTCATCATTAGTAAACATAAATCAAATTCAAGAAATAACCAAATGAAAATGGTATTTACCATTTTGGATTGGTATTTACCGATCCCTTCAAGGGATTGTGGTTATCAGTTTGGTTATAAGATCCGTGATAGTGGTGGGCAAAAAGTATCTATCCGATACAAAAGATCCGATACTTTTCGAAGTCAGAAGTATCCCATACTTTTTGATAAATTCATCGAATACTGTAATAAATACTGACAATCTGACTATTTATACATACTGTAGTGTAGACAGAGAGTGACAGAAAAATAATGTACGGTTATGGCCAAAATAATTTTCAACAGCTGTGGATGTCCAAGTATCTGTCGTAATCGTCAAATACTCCGAATTTTTTAGTAAATTCTTCACTTTCTGAACAACCTCATCATATGTTTGGGGCAACAAACTGTTGCTTAAAGTTTTTCTTGAAGGAAGTTTATAAGCAGGATCAAACTCTTCTAACAATTCTCTGAACCGTTCATCTTCAACAATTGTAAATGGCTGCATGTCTTTTATAATCATGTTTAAAACTTTTATATGCAGGTTCTTAGTACGAGGAATATACATTGGCCGCGTAGCAAAAGTCGATATTTTAGATTGTTTTGATGAGGGAAAAGGCATTCGTCTTTTGCCCTTATCAATTTCTTTTGTGGCGTCATAAGCCGAACTTCCTGGGGTGACTTCTGACTTCCAAGGTGTAGAAGAAGTTGATGGTCCAGGTATTTCTTCCAACTCCGCAGATGTTCTTAAAGACGAAGGAGACGGAAGATCTTGCGTTATTACCGCAAAATGCTTCGTCTTCAAATGTTTCCTCAAATTGCAATTTGCACCACCTTTATAGGATAAGACATTTTTGCAAATGTCACACTTTGCTTTATTTGAATTGATTGCATTGAAATACAACCAAACACCACTTCTTTTATCACTCATATTTTATTATATTTTGAAAAAGAGAATATATTATATAATACACTAAGCACTTCTAAACTTATGTAAATATGTAAGCTATACTATTTGATATGACATAACCCAGCAGTTCTTCTCAACGCAACGTCGAGGCCGACACGTGGGATTCCCAGAACTCGTTAAGATAAGGATGTTGATGTCTACCGTCACGTTTATGTAGATGTCGATATCGATATTCGATATAGATTCGATCTTAGGTATTGGGAACCGAAAGGATAAAAAACTAAGGCAGTCTTACGAGATTGGTAATTTGAATACGATTTTTGGGTAGTTGCACGTTCCGGTTGTCAATTGGGCGAACTTTTGTTGTGTGTTTCAGTTTGATTTCTAACACTTAACTGAAGCAAAAGGCTGAAATTAATTTCTGGTTACAAAAGCCCAGAATTTATATTTTATTTTTTACCAATATTGGAACAATAACAAATATAGCAATGTAATTTAAAATTCAGGGTATCGCTCATCAGTCATCACTACTCATCAGTCATTTTTAATTTCTAGTCTATACTCGATGATACCTACTTATAGGAGACCGAGACCGCATAATAACAGTAAACAAATAGAATAAATTCGAAGGTCGGGGCCTGGATCAGCGACATAAAGACACGAACCGGATTATTATTATTATTTCACGCTAGCAGTATTAAATTAACGGATACTAACGGCAATTAATCGAGCCGATACTTGGTATCGGTATTGCATACTCAGTATGGGATACTTACAGATAAAGTATCGGTATCTATTCGATACTTGCAAAAGTATTGATTACCCATCACTAATCCGTGAGGTCATGAATCAGCTGTTATAATGTCAGTTATCACCGCAAAATTGTGGTATTTACCCAACTCAGTAGTAGTTTTATATTTCGGGTTATTATTCGAAATGTGACAAGTTAGAATTTTGCCTGGGTATTGGATATTTTTATTGTACTACAGCTTCATTTTTGAGAAACTTGATACAGGCTGACTTCAGTTTTAGCATAAAGTAGAGCACCTTATTAGTTATAATCATTATTGTTGTTGGGGACACTTCAAATCTAGTTCCTATGCTTAACAAAGTATCCTGAAGAAATTTTGGACGTAGTTACCTCTATCAAGTCCCCTGCTACAGGGAGTGATGGAATTAACTTGAACATGCTAGGTTACTGCTTACCTGAAATTTTATTGTATTTAACCCATATTGTTAATATATGCCTTGAGACTGGGACTTTTCCTGGAGCTTGGAAGAAAGCTATTATCATCCCTTTAGCCAAAGTCAAAAATCCAACCACTCATAATCATTTGCGTACTGTTAGAGAAAGCACTGTACATTCAACTAGTAAAATATTTAGAGCAAAATAACTTGTTTCCTCCTCATCAATCAGGATTTCGTGCGGGACATAGCAATACTTCAGCTTTGCTCCATCTAACTGACAACATCGTAGGTAACTTAGACTGACATATTAACACCATATTAGTGATAATTGATTTCTCAAAAGCCTTTGATACAGTTAATCACAAAATCATGTTGAGCAAGCTGAACTATCTGATATTCCACTAAGATTTTTCCAAAACTACTTGGCTGAAAGAGAACAGGTAGTTAAGACAGTTAGGGACATCTCTTCTAGTACTGTGGTTTCGTCTGCCATTCCGCAGGGGTCAGTTCTGGGACCTCTGCTATATTTAATTTACACTATAGACTTAGACTCATGTGTGTAATTTTGTTCTATACAAACATATGCTGATGACACACAATTATCATTTCACTTCAAATATATTCAGTTAATTGAAGTGTCATTTAAAATTAATACTGATCTAATCAATATTATGGATTTTTATAAAAAGCACTGTCTCAGGATCAATCCTGAAAAGAGTTCAAGTATGCTTTTTTCTCCAAAACACATGTATAATAATATTAAGGATGCAATTGTACTCATTATAAATAACGAGCGCATCCCCATGGTAGAACGTTCTAAAAACCTGGACTCTAACTTGAAGTTTGATAGACACATCGGTTACCTGTCTCAAAAAACGTATGCCAAATTAAAACTTTTATACTCCAACCGTTTCATTTTAAACTTTATGACTAGGAAAAAATTAGTTGAAAGCTTGATCCTGTCATCTTTGCAACATTCTCTGATATTTTATTTGGATTTGTCAGATCGGTATAGGTTACAAAAAATTCAAAACAGCTGCTGCAGGTTTGTGTTTGGACTTCGTAAATATAGTCATGTTTCATCAAAGATTAAAAATTTAAATTGGTTAAAGATGGAATCGCACTTTGTTTATGCTATGAAGGTGTTTGTCCATAAAGTAGTTCGCATAAAAAAGTCACCATAAATTTTAGAGAAGCTAGTACCAAGAGGTAACATAAATCAGAGAAATCTCAGACACAACCTAAATTTTGCAATGCCAGTCCGCTACACAGCCCTTTTCCAGAAAAGCTTCACATTTCATGCTGTCAAGTTATACAACTCTACAGATAAAATGTGTTGCAGTAAAACAGTAGTAACTTTCAGGGGACTCTTTAAGAAACATCTGATGGTATATTAATAGTTTTCCTTTTTCTGTTTCATATTACTCTGTTGGCTCGTGTGTGCATGTTGTCAATACGCTAACTATTCACTTAATTTACTTACATGTCTTTTTCTTCTTATTATTACTATTGTTTGTTTGTGTATCGAGTTTAACTATGTTACTCTTTTGCATACAGGGAGGTTAAGTGTAAGAGTAGCCATTTGGCTACACTTCGCCATACTGATGTAAGTGTATTAATAAAGACATTTATTATTATTATTATTATATACCACAAGAATATTAAGATATGGCCATATGAACTCACTGGATTTTGCTAATATCTTTTTTCCATCACTTTTTCCTATTATTTCTGCTAAATCAATAAATGTTTTCTTTGACTTGCGGAAAAGTTTAAAGAATTGAAAGTTATCATAGCTACAAAATCTTGGTTCCATAATTAATTTTTTTTTTATGAAAAAAAACAATTCTCCAATTATTATTATGAAAGGTTTCTTTTTTAAACTTTCCATACACAGCTGTAGACAAAAAAGCGCCGATTTATTAAGTGATAATAAAAGTAATTAGAAATTACGTACGCGCTTTTCTAAAATAAACAACTTGCAACAAAACCGCGGTCAAAACCAACGCGTTCAAGCAATTCGAGTAACTGACGTCATCAACCCGTGTGTCATCTTGAACCATATTATAACAACATAGAAATTTTGGTTATTCGCTTGGATTTGATTATAAATTCACATTTACAAATAGACGAACATTTTGACAATCATAGCTGCCAACCCTTAAAACGAAATGATCTGTCCTTGAAGTCTTATACAATTTTCAAGGATAGTATGCAATATAGGCAGTGTTGCCGAACCGAAAAAGACGAAATCTGTAGATAGTGCCATTCAAATTCGGTAGATTCTAGTACAAAATCAGGGCCGTAGCAAGATCAGCGGTGGTTCAGCAGCCTTTGCGTTACGCAGCGCCGCTTATGAAATAAAATATATATTTTTGATTTGCGCGCCCACACGCATAACACAGGTTTTTTGAAGCTCCTGAAAAAATATCGACTTCTTTATTACAACTTTATACGCTGAGCATACTGGTTGCTCTTCAAACGCTAGCAACCATCCTGGAAACTCTTTTCTCCATTCTTGGTTATAAGATTGTGTCTATTTTTCTGTTTGCCCCTGGACTTGAAGCTTCATCACCTGGCATTCAATATTCGATTGAAAACAGGCCATCTTTGGTTTCCTTACTGCTTGTCCTGTGATGCAGTTATGCGGGCGATCTACCCGTCTGTACCTGTTGGGGTGCCTTTATTAAATCATTTGATAATGTAATTCCGTACCTACTAATGGAATGTAGATCGACAGATGAAGTTTAACTCTGGAATACTGTGAAACTTTATTATTAGAACGCCTAAATTAATACAGAGTCGTGTAATGACACTTCAGTATCTAACCACGTTTTCTGCGATCATTGTATTTATTATAAGGAACGTCACGGATATGAGGTATATCACATTCATGTGAAAAATATATATCAGCCAATTCTTAGCACTTTTTGATAGTCAAATAAGGTAAATCAATGACGAATCATGAGAATGACAAGTGATAAGACTTATTCCCAAGGTTTTGAGCACGGAAAGAGAACCGCATTTTTGACGTTCTATTTCCGAACGCATGAAACAGGTTCGTCAAGCAATTACGAACGCTAAAATTGTTACAAAGTAGTGCAAACTACATGTAATTCTATTATTAGCTTTATTTTTGGATGCAGCTATTTTTCGATAAAAAAATCTGGAAATATCTGAATTATTTTTAAAAATCGTGGAAAATGTTTTCAGTTTTTCGGTAAATAAAGCCCCATTACGGTGGATTTACCAAAAAATCGGTAGTTTCGGCAACACTGAATATAAGTTGCTACAAAATGCTTGTAATTCTTGTGACATGATATCATAGAGTGCTGAGTCTTCCCACTATTTATGTATATATTGCCGAGTTACAAAGTTTTTTTGTTGAACCTTTTTTATCTTAATGATACTCTTATATCTGCAAAATGTAAAACCGCCATCAGGCAGGTGGTAGAATTAATTTCTTTCCAGTTGTACTTTACTTTTTACCAGATCTTTTCATAAGTACATATGCAAATGAATTTACTAACTACTAACTACTTAAATACTATAGTTAGTAGGACTCTGTTGTCTGACCGCAAAATCAAACCACATATGTTTCAATTACAGTTTACTATAAAAAGTTTCAGCCACCAGGGTTTTCTTTTTAACTACCCAACATACTTTCAAAGTGTTGGAGAAGTGATATTTGCAATTTCAAAAGCTTGAATGATAAATTGCCATATGTCAGTAATGTGGAAAATAAAAACTTGAATGTATTCTTTTATGCAAAATTATCCATATCACATTATCAGATAGACAACATATAGCAATGAATCATAAAAATACCTACAAACTCAAATACAACCCCACAAGTGCATATTCGTAACCAACAAACTCATTGTAGTAAAAGTTCTGACTGATATTTTAGGCTAACAACAAAAAAACTGTAGAAACCATATGTGTATCAGAGATTAAAAGAGTTTATTATATGATATTTTGTTGTTTGTTATTGATCATTGTTATTTTTGTTTTCATCATTGTACAGAGCTATATTAGTATGAATATTAATCAAATAGTAAACCACAAAAACAACTGCAGTTATGATATAATACAACACACATACAGTATTTTATTTTCATATTGAACCATTGGGTGCTATATTTACCACCAAAAATCAGCTAGATAGTTTTTATGATGAGACCTTTTTTGGTTTTGTTGAATTGTTCCGCCATTTTCCCATTTTTGGGAAAAAAATAAATATGTGGCAACCATGCACTGAAACAAGGGCTCCATAACAGGAATAATAATTACATAACTCGAAAGCGGGCTTGTTTACCTGTTTCTGTTTATCTGGTTCCTACGTTACCTAGGGATTTGAATGTCAGGACATGTGCAGTTTATTTTTGGTGTATAAATAACCTGAAGAAGAACAAGAGTCAATTTCATGAGAAATATTTTTTCACTGCTAACGGGAGGAATCACCATTAATGACCGCACTGAGAAGTTATTAGCTTTCCTCTTCCTAGATAAGTTTTTTTTTAGTTTATTCAAAGTTTATTCTAATTCAACAACCAATATAACTTACAAATTAAAAACAACCTTCAGTACAATTTAAATAAAAAAAAGCTTCAAAAATACATGAGCTTGTATGCTCTTGCTACCCTGAATAACCAAGATTGCAACAGAAATCTGAGCAAAGATACTAGCATCAGATCTAGAACCAGCGCAAGTAACGGTATATGAATTGTGAAAATTCTGTATACTTTCGTAAAGGGATTGTCGTCACAAATCCTAAATTACGTGTCTGCATAAACAAATCTAACATTCATAACAGAAGCATACTAAAAACGCTCAGAAGTATAGATATAGAGTACATAAAATATGAATATCTGAAATATGATAATAGAGGGATATTTCGAGTTTATGTTTAAACAATAAAAATTTTGCGTAAAGGTTAAGCAGAGAAACAAGAGTACTACAATTTACTACAAAAGAATTTACTACAAAATAATAGACACCTAAGCTATAAGCTTGTGTGTGTCATACAATATACAAATTCAATGCATGGCTAATGGTTATAAGGTATTTATGAGCAAATGTATATAAAAAAAAGAAATAGAAAAAAACATTAGATAGAAACGAAATTACTGAGTTGAGTCAAGCTACCGTTGATGCAAGCATGTCAAAGTTATTTAAGATGAACTTCTTAATTCTTTTTTTGAAACTATAGTTCGAGAGGATTTTATATTCTAGGGTTAATTTATTATGCAACCTAATACCATCAAACTTTATGCATTTTTGGCAAACAGATTTATTCACTCTGGGTTAGGTGTAACTTATATTTATTTTAGTTCTTGTTTCATAAGCGTGGCTGGTTGGAAAATTGTTTCGGGAGTGAACAAATTTTAGAGCAGCAAAAATATATAAACCTCGAACATTCAAACGATTATTTTCAATGTATACAAATCTGCAACTTGACCTACATGGGATACGAAAAATAGTCCTGACAATATAATTTTGCGTGGTTTGTAGTATTTTTAAAGTACTAGTGTATGCGGCTCCCCAAATACTTATCCCGTAAGTTAGTAGAGACCCCACAAACGAGTTATATATTGAGAGAAGACTCTTTCTGCTTAAAATATTCCTAAGAATGAAAAACTTATGAATAATTCTGCTTAATTTCGATGTTCGGTGGTGTAATGGCATGCCTGCTTTGGTTGGAGAAAACGTTACATACTTAGTTTTAGAGATATTAAGTTTAAGTAAAATGTTATCCAACCAGCATTTGACTTTATTTAATGACAACTCGGCATTCCGTATTGCGTCATCCCATGAATGACCAGTGCAAACTGAAACAGTATCGTCTGCATACGATATCATCTTACAGTTGAAATTACATCGAAGTAGTTCATTTATGTATATGAGGAACAGTGTTGGTCCCAAAACCGTCCCCTGAGGCACACCTATTTTGATCTTTTGAATGTTGCTTAAATCTGACCCTAACTTGTTGTAATCGATCAGCCAAATAGTTCTCAAATAAGTTCAGACCTCCACTACGAACTCCAACACTTTCTAGTTTCTTTAATAAAATTGTATGAGATACTGAATCGAAAGCCTTTTGAAGATCTAGGAAAACTGCAACAGTCTTATTTAAATCTTGAAAATTTTCAAGCACTTGTCCTGTAAGTTCTTGTTGAGATTGCTCTGTATTGCAATTTTTGCGGAACCCAAATTGACAGTTCGATATTATGTCATATTTCTCAAGAAAAGAACAAAGTCTGTTATTCAAACACTTCTCAAAAATCTTCCCAAATACACTGATAACTGAAATAGGTCTATAATTGAACATATTGTCTTTACTTCCAGATTTAAATATTGGTGTCACTATGCTTTCTTTAAATTGGCGAGGAATTACTGAGGATTTGAAACAGAGGTTGATAATAATGTGAGTTATAGGGTGCCTGATATACTTCATGATCATCTTGATAGTTTTAGTGTGTAAGCCATCTTTTCCGGGTGCGCTATTATTTTTCAGATTACAAACTATTTGTTGTAACTCTATGTTATCCACTGGAGTTAGAAACATAGAGTGAGCAGTGTTGACTACATGAGGATCTGATGTATCAAGAATTGAGTTTTGATCAATCTGACTTGTTATTTGCTCACCTATATCAACAAAATATTTATTAAAAACAGCCTGTGTTCAGTGGGAGCGTCCATCTGCTGATTTTATTATTGTGATTAATTGATTTTACGTCAGTTTTTTTTATTTTGCCAGCATTAGTTACCTCATTAATAACATCCCAGCTCTTCCTATAGTTATTACCAGCTAAAATGAGTTTTTGTGTATAATATTGATTTTTAGAGATCTTAATAAGATTAGTTACTCTGTTTCTGTAGGAGATATAGGACTGTCTCAATATCAAATTATCATTATATCTTTCGTCAAACTCTGTTTCAATTCATCCCTCTTCTTGATCGAAGTAAGAATACTGTCAGTCATCCACGGCTTGCGTTTTCTGGTCTTACTATTTATTTTTAAATAATACGTTGAATGATCTATGCCTTTATATAATTCATTATAGAAGTTATCAGTTGCTTTTTGGACATCACTCTCTGAAAAAACACTGTCCCAAGTCACCACTTGTAAATAATCTGTCAACTTTTTCTCATCAATTTTCTTAAATTCATAGCTGTTTTTATTAATGATACAATTACTTCCTTTCAAATACCCAAAATTGAACAAAACAGGATAATGATCGGTCATACAATTTTCCAAAAGTATTGGTTTACACTCAATTGCTGTTTCAGAGACCTTAAATCTGTTTGCCTTCAAAAATATGTAGTCGATAATCGTAGATGAGTTAGAATCTACCCTAGTAGGTGTATTAATCTGAGATATGTACCCGTCCTGTTGTAACATATTCACGTATCTTAAATTGCGGTATTCATGTTCTCTCAATAAGTCTATATTTATATCACCCACCAACAACGAAATGTCACAGTTTGCAGTACTTCTCAAATACGAATCCAAATTGTTTACAAAATCCTGTACATTCGTGGGATTAGGCCTGTAGATACCAGTAATACTGAAACTGTTATTGTTGAAAATAAAGCTACAATTCAATGCCGTCACTACATCTATCATTTTTATGGAAACATTTGCCGAAATGTCATCTCTTACATACATTCAAACCCCATCGTATTTATTATACTTAGCTTCATTATAGTAAATTTGGAAGCCATTTATTTTATAACTGTCGATATTACTGATATTCCAGGTCTCACTCAAACCAATTATACCTATATTTTTATTCTTATTTAACACCGCTATGTTTAGACAAAGCTCATCATAGTGAGCTTGCAAGCTCCTGATGTTGTAATGAAGTATAGTGAAGTTTATCTTATCACTTCTCTCAAACAGAACACTATTTAATTCATCAAAATTAGAACAACTGATGGTCGTGATATAATTATAATAAAAGTAACAATGTCATTTAAAATCGTATTCTGCTAACTTCGTTATGTTAGTTTAACAACTAAATCTTATAATTATTTTAGTACGAGTGAGAAATAAACAATATTATGTATACCTAGCCATGTGGCTACCCTTGGGTATTTCAATAATAGGGAAAGTATTGGAAAACGGTCCTTAATGCTAGCAGAATGGATTAAAACCAATACACGTTTGCACCTAATTAAAATACCGCCCCGCAGCAGGGTTGCCATATGGGGGCATTTCCCCCCAAATTTGGGGGATTTTTTTTCTTCCCCGGCGAATTTTTGGGGGATAAAATGTTCTGGGGGATTTTTTGGAGGAAAAATAAAACTTTTGGGTACTGGTGTAAGCTTACGAAATATCTCAAACACATTTTGTTCGGTTACCTCTGATTCAGGGGTAATGTCGGAGATTTGGGGTATTGACACAACGGCCCTTGGTCAGCGTGATATCCCGGTTCCTGGACTGTCTTTTTGTAACAATCGTTAAACTCAGCACGTCTGACCATACACCTAGCGACCAAAGAGTTATATTGAGTCTGTGTGATGACTCCTATTGAGTCTGTGTGATGACTCCTATTAAGTCTGTCGTGATGACTTAACGACCAGTCTGTCGTGATGACGGTCAGGATCAGTCTGTCGTGATGACGGTCCCGTGATTCAGTCGATGACGAATCCGTAATAGTAGTTGGGGTACATTAATGTAATGGTAGATAGTAGATTTGTGCATGTGTTGTCATGAGTCGGTTGAATACGGGAGATACTCATAAGTCTTTTTCTAAAAATAGGTGTTGGCCCCGACAATCCGATCATATCGCCCTTATCGCTTGCCAAAGGAGGATAACTCGTTGTCGTTTCGTCACCAAGTAAGTGACTTTAATACTACCCTGACATTGTTGCCCATATCGAATTGTTTACGTACTGCCCATGTAGTAAAAATGTAATGGTACGGGACGGTACTTCGAAATCTTCTAAGATGAGATGTTTTCACGGTTATCGTTATATAGCTATTATCATATTATCAATTTCGTATCCTACACTGGGAATAACAATTTTATCTTTCTAGTGCTTTTTGACAATTCAATTAATGTAAAGCTGCGTTTTTCCACCGATCGTCAATTTTCACAACATAAGGAAAAGCATCGCGCCATTTGTTTGGCACTAGCTTGAACGATAATATAGAGGCACCTTGTACAGAAACATTTGTTTCATTGGACAGCTAAAATCCCTGCTTCTGCACCAAACAACTCATGCGTTGGCATTACTCGGAATAAATTTTTCACGTTTATAATAATGTCCATAAATTGCTCTTGAAGGTCATTCGATGCTGCGGCTCGGTTAACAAGTGCTTTATGAGGATGTATCACATATATATTATTATTATACAAACTAACTTTTTATACATTCAGTCCAGACGGAACTGTTAAAAAATGGTTCGGGTTGGCAGTCTTGAACATGAACAATGATGCTTGTCTTAAAGTCTGATCCCTCGTTGTGTCAAGCAAATAATACTTCGTACACCTGTGTAATTTGGGTCACTAAATCTGAAATATTAGCTGACATTCGAACGAAGTTACTGAATTCTCCAGATGGGTCGGCCAGAAGTTCTGCAAGTTGGTTTTCCATGCTGGTCCTAAACAATAAAATGTAAACAGATGTGTGAGATATAGGTTATGCTATTTTATTTACCTTCTTCTATTCTTATGTACACTCAGCATCCACCATCTTCTTTCCTTCCATTCTTTTTATAACTTTGTAATGATACACATTGTGGTACATTGTGATAAAACATCCAGAAACATAATCCCATTTTCGAAATTTTTTACGATTACAATACTTCCTCGCCCAGTGGCATAGAAAGTACAAATACAAAAAGCCCCACTTCAGTAACTGACAAGAATGCATTTTTAATTGAGTTATCAAGAAGAACACTTCATATTTCAAAATCCATCAAGCCGTTTGGACTATAGCCCATAGGATAGAAATTTTCAAGGTTGAAGTTTTGATTTTATAAGATTTTGTTATACCCGCTGTCAATACACATCTAGAGACACCTCGTAGGTAAAAATCAATCAAGTCGTTTAAGCTGGAGCCCGTGAAAAAGACATTTCAAAGCCGAAATTTTCTTCTAAGATCCCCATTGTGATTTAATCAAATTTCAATATACCCAGTGTCACTCACACTGTTAATATAAATCCAACACCTTATATGCCATCAAGACGTGACTAAAGCCCCTGAAATAGTGTTTTTTAATATACTAAATGACATATAAATCCGAACACCCAGTTTAAATGGTTTTATTTTAATAAAATTTTGTATAAGTACTTAATAAAGCATAATAAGTAAATGATAAAAATTTCAAAATGATTGCACTGCTTTAAAGCCTTTTGACCTTCAATAATGTGTGGATGCACCCTGATGTGCTACGCATTCTCCAACGCGCCTAGGCATGCTTCTGATCAGGTGGTCAATGTCCTCCTGTGGTATCTCATTCCAGGCAACCACCAACTCCTCTCGAAGTGGTTCTAGAGTCTGAGGAGGACGTTACAAATTGAGCAATCTCCTACCCATCATATCCCACACGTGCTCAATTGGGGATAAGTCGGGAGATCTTGGTGGCCATGGTAACAATGTGACATCATTATGTTGAAAGAAGTCTATTGTGACTCTTGCAACCTGTGGTCGGGCATTATCTTGTTGGAAAGTTGGATCTGCCAGGGTGTCAAGATAGGGTAAAAGATGGGGTTCTAGAACTTCGTGGATATAACGCTGCGCGTTCATGTTACCTCTGATGAAGATTAAAGGTGACCTGGAACCATAAGCTATAGCACCCCAAACCATAACTCCAACAGTGTGATGAACATGTCTTTCAACAAAAAACTGTGGATTCCTCCTTTCACCACGTCGCCTTCTAACCCTGGCACGACCATCGTGCATGCCTAAACAAAATCGAGACTCGTCACTAAAGACAATACTGTTCCATTCCTGATCCCAGAGTGACCGTTGTCTGCACCACTCAAGGCGATTACGTCGGTGTTCTCGAGCTAAAGGGAGGACCCAGTGTGGCCGGTATGAAAACAAGCCAAAACTTCTCATTCGTCGGTAAACACTTCGCATGCCAATAGGTCTTCCGTGTTCTGCAAACCATTCATTTGCAATGGACCTGGTAGTGGAGAAACGGTCCCTTAAGGCCAATAATCTTAGGCGGCGATCTTCACGGTCTGTTGTTCTACGGCGGCGTCCAGTGCCCCTTGCTCTTTGCGTACGGCCTTCTCGAAGCCATGTCTGACAACATCTAACCACAGTGTCTACACTTCTTTGCACTCTAACTGCAATTGCCCGAAAAGAAAGTCCAGCTTCCCGAAGTCCCACTATACGGCCCCTATCAAACTCACTAAGTTGACGAAATCGTACAGGTCTCCGTACTCTAGGCATCGTAACCGATCGTAAAGGATGTCAAGAACCAAAATCCGCCAACGTTGATTCTTTACTGCGGCTGAAATATTCATTTTTAGAGTGTTAGTGAATTAAAAAAAGCAGAAAAAAAACCGGAATGTCCAACTGATAAGGCTGAAAATTTTTTCACTTGTTATTTACTGTAAGATAAATACATTCACCAACTTTTATTAAAATAAAACCATTTAAACTGGGTGTTCGGATTTATATGTCACTTAGTATATTTTAAACGTATTCTGACAGCTGTGATTAATAAAAACAATTGTCGTGGCTTTTATTTTTCACTGCCACCTATGCGTTATAGACTTATTTTGCATTGAAATGAAAATAGGTTGATGTGCTGTAATTGCAACATGTGTTATTTTTATGCTGCAAATTTGATTAGGGAGTGATAAGGTTGGTGTTTTCTACTATATATTATCAAAATATTCATTGTTAATATTTTAAACCTATAACACCCTGCTACATTTTTATTATTTGTGTTTGATAAGAAAAAAACTAAGATTTCAATAGTTGGGCCAACTGAAGTGAATAAATATAAAATATCCTTTTAGATAAACATACATAAACAAACACTAATCTCAGTAGGTCATAGAGGTTAACTTATGTGTAGGTTCCTTATTTATGTATATTTATGGCAACCATTATTATCATTTTTACCAAGATTAAATGCGTATCTGAGCTTATTTGCAGTTTCTGCACAATTCCGAGATATGCCGAGGCTGCTCTAGATTATTGAAATTGTATCTTAAAGTCTACATTATGGGAAGTCCAAGAATTTATCAGCTTGTATGATAACAAAGCTCACAACTTTGTTATTGTTATAAAGTGATTGATATTATTATATTTACGTATGAGCGCAGATAGATAGTTGTATTGGGTTCGAATCACAGATTAAAAACAAAATAAGTTGATTGTTTTTATATATTTAAACCTAAAAAATAATCAAGTAGGTGTCAGATAGCAGTGTTCACATCACCCTCCTTATTAATTTAGGGCATCAGGGTGTCCACGGACTCATTTTTACATATTGTTTTTTCGGCTTTTCGTTTTTGCTCATTTTTTCATCATTTTGGAATGTTTTCCAATACATTAAGCGGAAAGCTTTGCTTAACTCTCCTTTGCCCATAGGCAAATATCTGTTTGAATGATTTTTTTGTTATTGTGAGTTCTGTTGAGGCTAAACACATGAAA